CTCCTTACAGAGCAACACTGTCAGCTACTCTGACTTTTGCAGCTTGGATCTGTGTGGGTAGGAGGGAGGCAAACCTAAATCTCCTCTGAACGTACTATGTGTATATATACAAACAATGCAAGCAACTTTGCTGACCCCATCATCTCCTATCCCTACATGCAAGTGCCTTCAGTGCTTACTGCTGGGAGTCCGTATGTGGAGAAAATACACTCTACATCTCTAGGGGTCAGTTGAGAAATTAGCATCATCACAATGCCACTGAACAGAAGCTTAGTACGAGTGAGAAGTGAGAGTGAGAGTGCGTGGATTTCAGGCCCGCAGTTTGCGAGTTCTGCTTTTAGACAGAGATTTCATCTCTGCAGCGAATGCGGGAAGCCAGGATTTGAGGGCAGAGGGCTGCAAAGATGGATCCTGGGAGAGAAACCCAGGGTTGCCCTATGGAGCACACCTTCAGACAGCTCTCAGACACACTGCAAGGCATGGCTGAGCCCACAGTGGTGACTGTATAAAAACATATTTACAAGTGAAAAGCACCAGAGCAGGTTTTCTTGAAGGACTGCAGCCCCTGGGAAGAGTCCACATTGCAGCAGGATACAAGTGTAAGAGGGAAGGCGTGGCAGAGGGAAACCGTCATGCACCCACTGCTGACCTCCTGCTCCTGGGGAGAGGACAGGAGCCAAGGAGAAGGGGGGAGAAGGAATGAGGGAGAAGGGCTTCTTGTACTCGTGAAGCAGCAGCTGCGTGTTGTCATTAAATATCAGCCTGCTCCATGGCTCCAGTGCCGAGAGGCAGAAACCGCACATCACAGCACGTGCTGCTGTGCGCTCAGTTCCGTTTTTATTACCAAAAATCCTTACCTGCCCTGCTCAAGCAAGACGACATCCTTCCAACCCAGCTTGGCGAGGTGATAGGCCACCGAGGTGCCCACGATGCCTCCCCCGCAGATGACCACCCGGGCCTGTGCCGGCAGGGGGACCGGCTGCGTTTCGGCCGTCCCGGAGGCGCTCCGGCAGCGGGCCGCGCTCCTCCACTTGGGATCAGCCCCACGCCACCGCACGTCGGCCAGCAGCCGCAGGAACATCCCGGCCGTTCCGTGCCAGCACCGCCGCGAGCAGACACCGCTCCTTGCGGGGACGAAGGGACGAGAATTACCGCTCACCTCGGCGCCGGCACGAGAGGACACGGAAAGCCGAGAGCGAAGGATCGGAGGGTGGGTGCGTGCCGACCGCAGCGAGGAAGAGGTGGAAGCGGGGAGGCGGCACGGCGGCCCTTCTAACAGCGAGGGGCGCTGCGGCGGGCGGCTCCGCGCCTCGGGACCCGACGCCGGGCTGCACAGGCCGCGCCGGCACCGCCTCGGGCCGCTCCCCGCCGCTTATCGGCGGATCCACGGAGGCGGCGCGGAGCGGGCGGGAATGGGAGGACGAGGGGACGGCGAACGGGCCGGCTGCGGCCGCTCCGGGGCTGGGGGAGCCGGGCCGCGCGGCGGCTCACCTGGCGGCGGGAGGCCGGACTGACCTTCCGCGCTTTACGGCAGGAGGGCGGCAGCGCGACAGCCGCTCAGCGCGCCGTATCGCAGCCAATCGCAGGCCAGCACTGAGCGAAGGGACGTGGTTACCGCTAGCCACGCCCCCGATGGGTTTCCCTTAAAGGGGACGCAGCGCGTTGCGGCGGGCGCGGGGGGAGCGAGAGCATCTACAGGGAGACTGGAAGGCCAGAATCAAAAATAAATGTGAACACAACAAGTAAAAACCTGCAGACTCTTTTTATTAAATTCTCCCATTTCATCTGTACAGAAAAAAAAATGCACATTATGTTCAGAATCTCAGTAACATCTCAAAATTACACAGCATGAACATGTAAAAAAAAAAAAAAAAAAAAAACCAAACGAGAAACGGCCAGGATTTTATACACAGAAAGGAAAACAATTTACAAAAAGAAAAGAAAAGTCTCGTTAATGTCACATTAAAAACAAACAAACAAAAAAAAAGAGTTAAGTTCAAACAGCCTTCGCTGCACAATGAGAGCTTGCTGGGTCTGTTTCACACTGCTGGGGGGGGGGAGGGGGAGAGGGGGAGAGGGGGAGAGGGACAGACACCCCCTGCCACACTGCCAACGAAACACTGAGTTGTTTTAGTAGAAGCCACCATCCCTCCTGGAGAGCCCTTCCTCCTCTACAACATGCTCAGATGCGAGGCAGCTCTGCTTTACCGCTGCTCTCCCCCCACGATACAATTCTGTGCTTACAGACTGGAGGGCTGCTGCCCCCATCCCATCCCCTCCACCACTGCCATTCCACACAATCCCTGCGGGTTCGTTTGTTCGGGCTTCCCCAGCCCTCTCCGGTAAGGCAGACACAGCCAGGCATCACTGCAAGCACCAGGAACACCATCCCTTGCCACGTCAGTCATGCAACAGCCTGAAGGGCAGAAGCAAGGCGGGAGGAAGCTACGCTGGAACTCAGCAAAAGGACTCGGTTAGACCCGCCAGGCGAGCAATAAATAAGGTTATTTCTTAAGGTCAGCAAGAATGAATGCTAAGAGGTTAGCTGGAGCTGCCCACGTCCTCCCAACGCACCATCAGGAAACACAACTACAAAGAGCTGCACGCCTTACTGGCTGCCAGCCCCTCTCCTGCCTGTACCTTCCTAGCAGCACAAGCGTCCCCACACCAAGGGCAAGCTCTGCACGTGGTTCTGCAGTAAGGACAAAGACTCTCACAGCATTCTGCAGAATGCAACCTTCCCCCCACCAACGCTTTCTGGGCTGATGACAGTTCTAGCTCTTTCCACCAAACTGCAACAGGCTCCCTTGATTTCAAGGCAGCAGCAGCAGAAGTTTCTTACCACCATCGCAATGGAAAACCTGTGGGCAAGGTGTTGTGCTGGCAACACAGGCTATTTTTGCAAGAGTACTTTGGGGGAGTTTCTGTGCTTTTGAGAACTCTTAGATTTTTAGGTATAGAGGAGGAGGAGGAGAGCATCTCGAGGTTGGGATTGGGTGCATATCCAGTAAAGGAAAAAAAAGCAAAACTGGTCATCAGCAGTGTCAGAAAGTCCAATTTTAAAACACAAGCATAAGGCTTACTGCTACAAAGGCCTGATCCCTCCGCCCAGCATCACACCTTTACAAATGCACAGCCACAAAAGATGCTGGAAGGAAACATGCAGAGATGCAGTCAGCATCTGCCTCTGCCCCCAGCAATGCGGGCTCTCACGATTCTCAAGTGTCACATCAGAATCCATCAGCACGCCATCTCCGAAGCCAGCGAGAATGCAGGAAGCTTGGCTCATCCCCTGCATCCACCTTCTCCACATCACAAAGCAAAAAGAAAAAAAAAACCAACCCAACCCAGAACACACAGAAGTTACCTTCACAGTGGAACATGGTTTACATTCAGAGCTATAGCTACAAACCTACAACTTTCACTGCAACGCCATTCATTTGGAATTCAGTGGAAGATGCTACTTCTAGACAACAAACCATCTTCATTCGGCTTTTCAATCTAACCAGGTTACAAAATGCCTTTTTGGAAGTCACAAGAGGTTAAAAAAAGCCCCAACAGCAATTTTTTTTGTGCCTGAGAGATGTTCAAGAAGCAGGGCTTGTACCACGCAAGCAAGACTGCACGTGATTCCCCTTCTCTCCCACCTCTGTCGCAGTAATGGTAGCTCCCAGACTGTCACACCAAACAATCTATTACTGCCAAATTAACATCTGTTACACACCTGTGCTCTGCGTGTGACAGAGCTCCTTCTCTGTGCCAGTTCACGTTTACAGAGGACTCATTTAGCTCCATCAGCACTGGGGATAAGGGGGGAGGAAATGCAGGTTTGGTTTCTGTTCTACCTAACGACCCCACTGACACCAGCACACACCAGTCCTCTACTGAATCCTCATGCTCAGACTTCCTTTACCACCCAGCCTTGTGCTCAGAATGCTCAGAGACAGAAGGGCTCACTAGCAGAGCAAAGATCACCTGCATCACCAACCACTTGCTGTCCATCCTCAGAGCAGGATGAAGGAACGCTTGCAAGAAGCTTCACGTGCTACAGGCAAAAGCCATCACAGTATTTTGCATCTGCCTTTCTGTACATGCAGCATCATGGGAATCTGCTGGTCCACATTCCAGGATGTCTCAAAGCCATCTCCCTCATTATCACAGAGAATAACGCAGAGAACTGGAAAACCTCAGGTCTTACCTCGCAGCGTGCTAAGAGGGAAAATAAAGGCATGGTTTAAGCATCAGCCTCAGCTAGACAGGGTCAGGCACGTGATTTTTACTGCAGCACACACGCAGCAGAGCACATCAAGAAGGCTGATAAAGCACACCCTACTGTACAAACTGTGCTGGCTCTTGTGCAGTTCTTTCTTGGTCGAAAGCATAGGGGAAATCCATCTGCTCAGGCTCTGACCACAGCATGTGGCTTCCCCACCTCTCCTTTTAGCACTAAAGGAACAAAGATGACGGCCACAGCTTTTCCAGAACACCTCCTTCCCGAGCACCCATGCGCACACACCGACACGTCTGCCTTTCACACCATACCATTCTCTTCCCCTCCCCTCCTACCTGGCTTTCAGGACCAGCACCTGCATCCCAGGGAACACAGCTGCTTTCCTCATCGACTGTCGCTGTGAGGAAACTAAAAACAGTGCTACGATTCAAAAGGTGGAGGCCAGTAACAAACCACTGTGCTGGCCCACACGTAGCTGTCAGAGCGGCCAGGTCGAGCGAGCAGTCGCATCCTGCATCACTGACAAAGCACTGCCAGGGTGTCAGTACCACCTGTAGGAAGTTAACTGGGAAGGGTAACAGCTTAACAGCAGCAACGTGAAAGAAAAGGAGTGTTAAAACGCCACTGCATCATCACTAATAAAAACATTGACCAAGTAACCAATCCAGGCACCTCCTGCCTGCTGACAGCAGCACTGCACACTACGGACAGGCTCTACAGCCTCACATCCACGCCGTGTCTTCAATCTACTGAAGTCGTACAGCTCACATGAGTACTTAATCCTGGTCGGTACTTTATTCTATCTTGAGCAGCAGAGGAAGAAAGGGAGGACATCTTTTCAGCCAAAAGAATCCACAGTAACAAAAGCAGGATATTCGCTAGGAGAGGACACCGGTGCCGGTGTCCATAGGTTGTCCCAGACTATGCTCTGAAGATGCTTTACACAAGATGAGCAAGATGTCCAAAACAAGGCCAACTGTGGTGCGAGATGCAATTTACCCTTTACCTTCCTGCCTCCATTTCACCCAGCCACAGAGGAGGACTGTATTTCAGTACGAACCGTTACCTAAATCATATTGTTGGTATGCAGATATATGTCTTCCTTTAAAAATTTACTTAAAAACTGCTTGAGCTGCAGGTCGTTTCAGTCTGATTTGGAGAGTGAAGGCAGTTCCAACAGTACAACAGAGACTTGTCTACAGGCAGGTAAACGAGAGTCTGCTAACAAAGGGGTAACAAAAGCTGCTGGCTGGGCTGCCAATGTTGCACATAAACTTTCATAGGATGAAGATGCTGTGGATGAGATCCAGGATGGGAAAACTGAGCCAACACCTGCTGCTGTTCTAATTTTTTTTTTTTCTTTTTACTCTCCTCTCTCGCAAGAGGGGGTGGGTAGACTATACAGAGGAGGGCTGTACAAAACCGGGCACTGGGCAGGCATTTCTCCAGCAGGCAATCCAGGCTCTACCTGTCCTTGAGCTCTCTTGTCACCCGCTTGGTGATGCGTCCACACATCAGGCCGATCAGGAAGAGTACACAGATGCCAACTGTGATCACAGACAATATGTAATTCTTGGACGGAGAGGTCATAACTTGCATGGCAAGGTCAGAGAAGCCTTCTGCTGGGGCAACCTAGGGGTGAGAGGGAATCAATGAGCCAAGCCGTGCTTTCCATGCGACTCAGCCTGGTTATTTCGTAAGGGCTGCCATCTGCTGCAACAATTACAAGTTAAACTGAAAATTTGGGTTTTATTTTTTCTCCTCTAAAACCTCAAAATGCTGAACAGCACTGCAAGACAACAATGTTCCTAAAGCTCAGGCTTTCAGTAGAACACATTGCAACAGAAAGATCCAATGCAAAAAAAAAACCAAAAAAACCAAGGGAGACCCTTAAATCTGTTCCATATTCACCTTTGCAGCATAGCTCCACATTTCAATACGATCATTAAGGCGTTTCTTGCATTCAGGCTGCAGCCTCACACGCTTGTCCTCCAAAGCTTCCATTAGGCATGACATTTCTGTGATGTGCAGAAGATAGTGTTACAAAATGGAAACCCTGCCTTCAACCACGTGCTGTGGAAAGGCTGCTGGAAAGGGGTATTTCAATTCTATGTGAGGCTGATGGTTGCTCAGCTTCCTAAATGGACCCACTAGGCTGATGAACTGCACACAAAGCCCTGGCTTCCCTTTGAAGGGAATTAATTTTACCTGTCAAACGTACCGAAACAAAAAGCCAACCGTGGGCAAATACTGACAGGAACAAAGCAGGATCAGAGGGATTGGCTAAGAGTAAATCTTGTGAAACTAAAGTGATTTGCTTCTGTAAGAGAAGCAGCTTAGACTCAGGGAAGCCTTTGATACAGCCTACTATAGCACGGGCATAAGCTGGAGCTGCACAAAGCTGATATAGAGTGAAGATACACATCAGATACACATCACTGCAAAATTGATCCCACTCACTTATTCTGAACAGGATTTACCTGAGCAAGGATTTCACAGAAGGGCTACGGAACTGATTTCATGCTTTTTTCAGTAATCACATGAATCAGGCTCTGGGGAGACCTCACTGTGGCCTTCCAATATTTGAAGGGAGCGGATAAACAGGAGGGGGAACGGCTGTTTGTGAGGGTGGGTGGTGATAGGACAAGGGGAATGGTTTTAAACTGAGACAGGGGAGGTTTAGGTTGGATGTTAGGAGGAAGTTTTTCCCCCCAGAGGGCAGTGAGGCACTGGCACAGGCTGCCCAAGGAGGCTGTGGATGCCCCATCCCTGCAGGCATTCGAGGCCAGGCTGGATGTGGCTCTGGGCAGCCTGGGCTGCTGGTTGGTGACCTGCACACAGCAGGGGGTTGGAACTGGATGAGCACTGTGCTCCTTTGCAACCCAGGCCATCCTACAATTAATAATGGAACATAATACACTCTCTTTAAAAACAGCAGACAGGCTGCAAGGATACGACATCAGGACTGCAGAACTGATCCTGCTGCCTTGGGCAGAAGGGAGGACTGAACACTGCTTGATACAGCCCCATCCAGCAGCATCCATCACTTCTGCAGCAGTTCCAGCCCACAGAAAAACAGCAGCAATATCTGGTACTTAAGATCATGCTGGTATGAAAATGCAACTTAAGGCCCTCAGGACTCAGAGGTTGCACAAGGGAAGCACTTACGGCGTCCTCTCCCTGGAGGAATAGCAGCACAGTGGTGTTTAATGTCCAGGGCACAGGCTGTGTGCAGCACTGGGTCCACAAAGATATCTGCTTTGCTCTCCTTCAGCATGTTGAGCACTTCCTGGGGGGGGGGGAGAAGAAATTGCAAGCACATCTCAAGCAACAACAAAAATAGGAGAGAAGAAAACAGCACAGATCCTGCTGCTCTGCACTTCTGAAAGGTGCAGCACCTTTTCCAACCCAGCATCATGCCAAACAACACCACCACTGGATAAAGGTACGAATTTAGGCTGTTTGAGGCTGGATTAAATGTACTGCTTTATGAGGGTAAGCACAGTTACTCGACTGAAATAACCACACTGCTCTAAAACGCAAAGCCTCCATGCTGGCTATAACATGGCCTGGGTTGGGATCTACAAAAGAACTTAAGAACCCCAAGTAGTGCAGGGATGAGATGCCTTTCAGAGCTCATCCAGCACATCTCCTTTACCTTCTTGCACATTTCGGTTTTTATTTTCAGCAGGTTCACTTTCAGGCATTCTTCCACCTGCCCAGTCTGCTCCTGAGCTGCTGCTTCTTCAGCACACAAGCTGGAAATCTATTGCAAAGAAGGCATTTTAATGAATCAGTGGTTAATGACAATGACTGTGCCTTTGATATCTCAATACATCAGTTCATGAGAGGGTTTAGCTAGAGAACACAGGTTACTTTCCCACCCAGAAATCTGTGCCAGATGCGATGCACTCAATAAAGCGTGACCTTCAGAACCCAGCAGCAAGAAGTCCACGTTGCTGCACTGAGAGGAAGGCAGGGAGGAAAGATAGCATAGAAACACAAGCAACACTTGAGACGTGGCTTGTTCAGACTGTTAAGAGTGAAAGCTCAAATCTGATTGTATTCCAGTTAAGCTTGACAAGATCAGAAGGACAAAAAGAAAGCAGTATTTCTCTCACAGTCACAAGCACTGATTGAGAAGGGACTTCATGAGACATGAATGGGGTTTTCATTCAGAATAAGCAAATGCAGAGCTGCTTCTCCTACCTCTTCAGAGCAGTGCATCTGAAGCTGGGGGTCCAGTCGATAATCAAGAGCTGATTCCTGGATTATCACTCGAATTTGGTCCTCGCAGTCTGGAGAGAGACGCTATTGAGCGGAGAAAGTCATTAACCCACTCAATCACCTCCGTTCTCATAAATCAATCCCCTTGCATCTTAACCTGTGTACTCCTTACCTGCTGTGCAGGAGCATAAAACCCCATTTCTGTGTATATATTAGGTGCACTGAAGAAACTGAGTGCAATTTAATTTGTCATTCAGTGAGAGTTGCTCAGCACACAACCCAGCACAGCCTCAGCGCTGCTCACCTGGTCTGCGTACTTCAGCTTCAGGCAGGAGATGACTTGCCCCTCTAACTCTGTGTCATCCTTGGCTCTATTCAGGATATTCTGGCAGAATTTCGGTATGTCTGCTTTGCAGGCCTTCCTCAGCACCGGGTTTAGGCGGTAATCTAACCAGGAAAGATCACAGAACATCATTAGAGCACCCACCTGCTCACACTGCAGCACGTAACGCTCCAAGAGATCTGACAGAGATTTCCCAAGTCACAGTTTTTCCCCATACATTAAATTTTGGGGAACAAAATAACAGTTTTCCACTCATCAACTGTAACTAGGTAAGCGGAGCTTTGGGAGTGAAGCAGCTCTGTGTGCTGGCCCTCAAGAACTGGGCAGAAGAAAGTTAAGTGTGTGCACTGACAGCTGTGTAAGAAACCAGGTCAGTTTTGCCCCAGCCACGCAGATCACTCACTGGCTCAAGCAGACAGTTATTAAGGTCTTTATTCAGGAGGGAATACCTGTGTTCTGTGTGATCTGGCGCTTGGTTATCATTTGCTTGCACTTCGGATCCATCACTTCACTGTTCTTGTTTTGTTTCAAACACTGCAACATGTTTTTTGAGTCTGCTTCTGGACAAAAACGCTGTAAAAACAAAAAGGTGCAGGTTTTATCACTGGAGATGTGAAAACATGGAGACTCGTGGAAGAGAACAACCACACACCCAGCCCAGAGGTACAGAGAACCCCATGCTCCATGCTCCCTAACCCCCTATTTCCAATTAAGAAGAATAGTGCCAGTCTCTCAGCTGCCCATGGGCACGAAGACCTGTGCTTATGGGGTGAGCACCAAGCTGTAGACTCCTGACTTGTTGCCAGCCTTCAGCTTGCATTGGTAGCACTAAGAGACTTCTGCTTTTATTTTCTTTCACAAGTGACAGCAAGTGTATTTACAAGACGGGTCCTTTAAGGCAGCGTTTCTGATTTTAAGCAAGCAGGTTTCTGCACAATTTTTGCCTGCTTATCAGGCTGATGTAAGTCTACGTGCACCAGCAGCGAGCTGAAGATGCCACTCCTCTCTGTAACCTCAGCTTCTCCACCTTGCTTAAAGGACAGTGCAATATACAGCAAGGGGAGCAACGGTATGAGCCCCGTGGGAAGCCTCACAGACTTCCTCCTCCGTTCTGCTGGCACTTGAAGACAAATCTACCGCTGTGCAGGCTTTGATCTGATACTCAGAGTAAGTTAAAGGGAAGAACCCTGAAGAAACCTGATTCTGAGTTGAGAATCTGACTATTTGCATGGAAGCAATCACACTTTGAAACAACACAGACATTTTCTAAGAAGCCTGTGGGAAGTCCAAAACTGTCCGAAAGTCCAAAACCAGCTCAAAGCACTTCCATGTCCAAACCTCACCCTCTGGAATCAGCAAACACCCGTCACCTTGATCATCTGCTTGCAGACCCTCATCAGTGTGTAGTCCAGCTCTGGATCCATCATCTCTGTCTCCTGCAGCTTGAACACCTTCTGGTGGCACCGGGTACTCAGCTGCTTCTTGATTTCTTTCAGGCATTCTATGATCTACAACACAATTACAACCAGGTCAGGCTTGCTGTTGGCATGATTCCGCCCTCTGCTGCTCCAATCCACCTCTGTGCCCCCCTGCTGGCTCACCATCTTCACCCATCAGCACAAGTATGTTTATGGTGCCTAGATTTTATCAGACAAATCGTTACCAGTGCTTATTTCCACCACTTGCTTCAAGCTCATCTTTTCCCACAAACAAATTTAACGCAACAAAGGCGACCTGGACCTGCTCCAAAACCCCAAACCTCATCCTGCAGATTATACCTACAAAACCTTCAGCAACATCTGCAGTCACCAGCAGCTAATAGCTTTATATCAGCACCATCATGCTAATTTTGCACGCTCACAGCAATGCATTCATGCAGTATTAAAGGCTTGGGAACTGGCAGAAAAAAAATACAATGCTCCAAAATAGCAACAGAAGATTTCAGTAATATCAAAATGAAAACCCAAACCTGCAGGGAGAATTATCTAAAAAAAAAAAAAAAGTTTCTGAAGCTAAATTAAATAATAAATCATTCAGGTGATCCATTACCTGAGCATTGCCATAGGGAACGTTCTGGCAGTAATTCTTGATGTCACTTTTACAAGCCTCATAGAGCTCTGGTTCAAGTCTGATGTCCTCCGTCTGCAGGAGAGATTCCAGCACAAACTTTTAACTGGGACTAATACAGTTCAGACAGAGCCATCTGCTTACAAAGGGAGGTCATAGCTTTGATTCAATGGGGGTAAGAAACGTCAACAGGAACTAAACTTTGCAAATCCATGCAGGGTATCAGTTTTGTATGGTGACTGCGGGGTGTTTTTGTTTAAAACACAACGCTAGAGGTAAGCACTTGTTTCCCAGGCTCCTCCTAGAAGGGCACTGACACAAAAGCCTGAGCCAGCTAAAAGATCAGGTGAACAGTGAGGATCACCCAGCAGCCATCCATCTGCTGGGTGATCTATAGGATGCAAATGGAGCTTCCTGCTTTTAGCAGTGCCCAAACAAAGAGCGTGCTGCTGTCAGTACTGCAGCAGAAAGCTCAGAGGTGGCCTTGCATGCTACCCCCAGTTATACACACAGCAGCTTAGAGCAGCTGGACTCAAGGCAGCTCATCTGTTCTCCTCTCCTCAGTCTGTAAAATGAAGCTCATACTTGCTCCAAGAGGACTTGTAAGGACACAGGCACGTGCAGCACGCTGCTGAACACTCATCATCATCACTTCTAGCTGAAATTCCAATGACCACTTAGTTTTCTCAGCCTTCACAAGCCTACACTGAAGGCACTGAAGCAGACAGTCGTTATTTTTCACTGCCAAGGTCAATCGAGCCCAGCGTTGTAAGAACACTGGAAACCATAAGTGAGACACACCATACAAACGAGCTTCATTTTGTTCCAGGGTGCACAAAATAGGAAGTTGGGACTGAAAGACCTTGCCAGAAGAGCAGGCAGACCACGAGTTTCACACGTTTACCATTTCTAGCTCCTCCACACGCAGCTGCTTGCGGCACTTCAGAGACACCCTGTGCTCCTTGGCGTCCTGCAGAGTGTCATTGCGCACCGTTGTGCTCAGACAGATCACTACATCCACCCTGCAGAACAGAAGGAAGGTTTTTAACCCACGTATCCTCTGCTCTGATCAGCCACAACCCCAAGGATCTACACATAACAGCATCCTGAAGTGTCTAGTGGCACAACTCCGAGCCATGGGATTGGAATTAAAACCCCTAAAGCCGATGATATCCAATGGCAATCTAAACCAACAGGTACAGTAATATTCTGAACATCCCTACAAAGCTACTGGCCAGCAAAACCTGTGTTCTTAAAGTCGATGGGCATGTCAGAAAAGACAAACTGTAACCACTAAACCTCAGACATACACAAAGGTATATATCTCTATATGATGATCAGAGGGCTGGAGCAGCTCTCCTGTGAGGGAAGGTTGAGGGAACTGGGCTTGTTTGGCTTGGAAAAGAGAAGGTTTCAGAGAGACCTCATTGTGGCCTTCCAGTGCTTGAAGAGCAGGGATAAACAGGAGGGGGAATGGCTGTGTGTGAGGGTGGACAGTGATAGGACAAGGGGAATGGTTTTAAACTGAGACAGGGGAGGTTTAGGTTGGATGTTAGGAGGAAGTTTTTCCCCCCAGAGGGCAGTGAGGCACTGTTACAGGTTGCCCAAGGAGGCTGTGGATGCCCCATCCCTGCAGGCATTCGAGGCCAGGCTGGATGTGGCTCTGGGCAGCCTGGGCTGCTGGTTGGTGACCTGCACACAGCAGGGGGTTGAAAAGAGGTGAGCACTGTGCTCCTTTGCAACCCAGGTCATCCTATGATTCTAGCACCTACGCAGCATTGCAACCAACCTTTTTCTATCAAGAGAAGGGCATTCATATCATACACTGCAAGCAGTAGTATTGCCACCCATGAACAGGATTGACTTTAAGTGTAATTTAGATCTTGGAGAAGGATACTAAAAGCTTCCCACTGAAATGGACAAACCAGCAACACCACAGAGAAGTCAGCCTTCAGAGGAAGCCCATGCTTTCTGTTACATCCTGAAATACTCTGCACACAACTCTGACACGTTCATACAGTTAGAATGCTGCCTGGTTTGGCGCTACGTACTTTTTTTTGATGTTGGGGCAAAGTTTCAGCACATCCTCCTTGCAGGCCATTTTGAACTTGTAGGAGAACCTGAAGTCTTTCATTTGAACCTGCAGGAACGAAAAGAAATGAGAGATTTTGGTCACCTGGGGAAAAATGGTGCGTGTTGCCTGGAAGAACGCTCAAGCGAAGCAGTCAGCAAATGCTTCTGGCCACAACGTATCCTCATGGATGTCACAGGGATGCTGCCCCTTTGAAGAAGCAAGGACCCCCCATCACATGCCAGGGGGAGGAACTCTGGAGAAGAAACCGTTCCAGAAGTGACCTCCTGTGAGCAGGCACACAAATACAACTCTCTGAATTCACAAAGGCAACCTCAATACAGTTGGAAATCAATCTTAAAAAAAGGAAAGGGTATCATAATTAGCTAATTCCTGCCAACACCCTCAAACGCAACCAGTTCCCACTGATAGCATAGAAAAGCACTGCTTACCAGCTGGAAATGAGTAACTCCGATTGCACATTTCTCGTTCATTTCCTTCTGGTGTTTGTTCTGTATTAAACACTCCATCAGGTCGCCAGAATCAATCTGGTTATCTGCAACCTCCTGCAGGACAGACAAAAGGCTTAAAAATGAGCTACCCTTACAAGACAGGGTTTTCACGCTCCTTTAGCCCCCTGCACCCAGAAGTAACTGAGAGCACGGGGATTTACACGTCTCTGCTGTGAGCACAGGCTCCCACACAATGACCACATTAAGAGGGGCATGAAGAGACACAGCTCAGAGAAGAATCATGCCAGACATATGCAGCTTTAAACTCAGGACGTAACACAGGGATGCAATGCTCATGTGAGTTACTAAGTCAGGTGCTCTCACTGCTCTTTAATTACTCAGTCCTGGAGCAATGGAGGAAGCTATTTCAGCAACGTGAGCAGCTGCACACAGAGGAATGGCTCAGCACACTGCTCAAGGCAAGAGGAAGGAAAACAGTTTCACTTCCAATCAACTGTGAAAAGTAACTCCCAATTACAGGGCAATGTTAATCTTCCAACTCCAGTTTTTGTGCTACTATGCAGAGTACCATGCAGAGCTACGAAGCCTTGTTGGAGGGGGGTTGGTTTTTTCCACTGAGCACTTTTGGCAACTGCTTATTTCTGCTTTTACCTTTGAAATGCAGAAAGCACAGCAAGAATATTAAGATCCGACCTTTCCCACAATGCTCCTTCCCGAGGATACTGGTGCTGAGTACTCACGTGACAGAAGGTCTGGATAATGGGCTCGCATGCTCTCATCAGCAAGGCTTCAATTTGAATGTCCTACAGAAAACACACCAGGTTTCACTTTCACTGTATGCAGCCCAGGAAAAAAATGGCTCTGAAAAGAACCTGGTATGGGTTCAACTCAGAGCAGTTTAGAAGGCTTTGTTCAGATGCAATCCAAAGCTTCACCCTTTGGTTATGGGAATGCTATGGCCCCAACAATGCAGTAAACGTAAGACAAGCCTTCCAGCTTAAGGGAACAGCCTGGCCTCCACAGGTAGCAACTCACTGCTTGGATAATTCAGCCACTTTCCTCCAGATTGGATACTCAGCACTAGAAAGCATCCCACACTTCAGCAGGAGTTAAAGATTAATGATATTTCTGAGCAAAGCATTTTGTAACCACTGGAAGGAAGCATCCCCTTAGGGCAAAACATTGACTAAGAGGTACAGGAAACAGTTTGGGGCAAGATATTCAAACATGCAGCTTCATGAAACAAGCAGAGCTGCTGGCATCACTGGAAAACTGAATGTCCTGCATGGCAGTTATTGCTTGCAAGCTATTTGGGGCCCAGAGGGAAGCTGCAATATGGTACTCAAAATTACTTGCAAGCAGAACAAGAAACCAAGGTCCCTGAACGTATTTTGACTTGTAGTAAAGGTAAGCTACTTATGCACAGCTTCTTTACCTTAAGCCCTTTTGGTCTGCTGATGGCATTTCTCCTGCTTGCAACCTCACCTGTTGCTCAGTTCTCTTCCTCAAGGGCTCCCAATGAAAACTAACAACATATGGAGTAAAAAGGACAGCAGTGCTTTTCTATGCTTAACCCCACACTGCGTTCCTGCACCACTCTTTTATTAAAAAAGAAGTACTGTCAAAATGGCACATTTAACCCCACTGCTCTTCCCTTCATCCCACGCTGGGAAATGCTCACCTCAGACTCCAGCTCAGTCAAGTTTCCCACTATGTCTCTGCAATCAGACACCAAGTCATCAAGATGGTCCTGGAGACATTCCAGCTCCTATCAAAATAGATGTTTCACCATAAGGTCTGAGCATCCTAGACCACAATCCAGGCCTGAGATATTGCAACTCACAGGAAGCTGCCCTTCCTTTGGTAGCCATGAAGCTCCTGTAATGCTGTTTGAGTTGCTTTGCTTTGTTTTTATGGGGGGGGGGGTGATGTATGCACCTAGTAATGGTTAAGAATATTGGTCTAAAATGTTATCATTTGTTCTCAAAAGCTGTGCGATGCATTTTCACTTCTGAAATATCACATTTCAAATGCCCTTGGAATAACCTGAATGAGGGGTTAATTACCCATCTGTGACAGGAAGACAAAGGCCTATGCTCTATGGCATCTGCTGCTGAATGGCTCCTTCCCTCCAGCCATGCTAGGGAAGAACAATTTAACATGAAAGTATTTGTTGAAACTTAGTTAAAAGAGCAGCAGATGTTAGCTCAGCTCTGTATAAACACAGGAAGTATGTCAGTATTTGCCAGATGGGAATAGGATAAAGTTTATGTGGGAAATGTCAAGCTTGTAATAAAATATTACAAATAAGAGTCAGGGCGGGGTTGCTTCTATAAAGTTCTTTTTGTTAACTATCCCCTGGCCTCATTTTGTTCCACTCATGTTTGAACCCACAGCACAAAGCTTCTTCATAGGACTCAGCCCCAGGCTAGGGTAGATTCCATTTCAAGCTGCATGCATTTTTAATACACTCTTGGCTCTAAAGAGATAACCAGCCACGCAAAGTTCCTGCATTTCCCCCTGTTGTGCCCTTCCCACCCATCCAGCTTTGCAAACAGAGCAGGGTTGCTTGGTGTACAGTACCTGCCCCGTCTCTGTTTTCTCACTGCACCACTTCCCCAGGTCGATCATGCACTTGTCCTGCAGGGCCGGGTCCAGCTTCACGTCCATGGCACGCTGGTGGAGGATCCGCTGCACCTCTGCTCTGCACTCCCGTGACAGCTGCAAAGAGGGCACGGAGCACTCAGCGCACGTTTTGGCTCTCTGACCGCATGCTGCACCACTCCAAGCCCACAGGGAAGAAAGGATGGTTCAAAAACAAAACCAGCAGCCCAGAATGAGGCAACAAAGCCCAGCTACAAATTCTTTCCAGCAGCGCCTGCTGCAGCACAGCAGAGCTGACATTCATCAAGGCTGAGGAAGAGACCAAATGCAGGAAACCAAGGGGTATTGGTACCGTGCTTGGCAGAACTGCAGTGTGCTGTTTGGAGCTTAAAACTTCACACACTTCCCTCCCAGAGCGCCCTACCCAGCGCTGCAAAAAAAGTATGGATGCAACCTCTGGTAAGTTTGATTTTAACATGAACTTTCAAAATGACAGCTGCTCCCCAGCCCATCTTCTAATGAATAAATAAAGAGTTAAAAGCCTTTTTTCCTCTTCGATATTAGAGGCAGAGCGGCTATTGATTTTTTTTTGGCCAGTCCTAACATAAAAATGGAATTAGAAAGTCTCCACTCAGCACAGTGAGCAATGGCATTTAAAGAAGATATTCCTAAAAAAGAGATGACACTGCCAGTCAACAGCTGGCCTCTGCCACCACAGACCTCGTACATCCAACTGCAAAATTCCTTTTTAAGCCAACCTGCTGTGTAATCCCACTGGCTCAGAGGAGCTGTGTACAGCACAGTGGCAGAATAGGATGCGAGCACCCAGCTGACATCAAAGGAATGCCTCAACAGAGGCACAAGAGGGCAGCAAAATTGAAAAGAGCACCTCTGAACCCAACAGATGTGATTATGGCACATCTTCAGACTGCAGGGCAGCAAGTCAGATCCCTACTGCCTTCTCTAGAGGCAGCAAAAGCACGTCGACCAGCAGAGCACGCTCCAAAGAACTGAAAGCGTGTTTTGCATCAATAGGAAGAATTTAAGGGACTATAATCCAAAGCTGCATTCAATTCAAAATTCAATTAGAAACAGCTTAAGACAGCTAGGCTCAGAAAGCCCTTCAGCATGAAACCAGTTCTGTAGCTACGCTAGCTATCTGTAAGGAATCACACTGCACTCTGGAAAGAGCAGAAGGAGGACTTGCCCTGCATCTGCACGGATACATGCAGGGAGTGGGCAATCGTCACATCTTCACACGGTCATTCTGCCTTCTCAGAACAGGAACACAGCCCTGCGGGGCACGCTCAAGGAGCTGGACACCTGACCTGGTGCAACACCTAAGCTAAATCCTTCCAACAAGGATTCGGGAGTTCTTGCAGCACGCCACAGCCAGCACACGTCAGGTGGAGCAGCAGCAAGCTGCACGCCAGCACTCACCCTCCGTCCCTGCTCCTCTGTGCGGTAGGCATGCCTGTACAAACAGGAGAACACAGCCCCAGGGGGCATCAGCTCACTGGTCTCATTCCAGCCATGGGTATGGCAGAGGCGGGAGGCGTCGCCCTGGCACTTTCGGTACAGGACCACATCCAACCTGCAGACACAGAGAGCATCACTCACGCTGCTATTTCCTCCACGCTCAAACCTGTGGTGCTGTATTCCGAAATGCTTTCGAGGGGGAAAAAAATCCATTACGAGTTTCAAAGGCTGGAACATCATCATCTGAACAGCAGAACGCCGGTGGCTCCGGTTAGAATCAATTCCCTAATCCTGCAGAAAGGCCTTTAATTACAGATCAAACCCTCTGTGCTTCTTGAAGCACCTCCTATTCTCTCCCACAGCATGCCAGCCAAAGAACACGAGAAAAGCAATCGTCTCCTTGATGTGCTGCAGCAGCACAAAAGCAGGCCCATACCCATCTCATACATGCTTCATACTCAATCATAGAATGGCTTGGGTTGGAAGGGACCCCAGGGACCACCAAGTTCCAAAACCCCCTGCCACAGGCACGGCCACCAACCCCCAGATCTGCTCCCAGGGCTGCCCATCCAACTCAATCCAATTTTGAATCCAGTTTCATAAGCACCTGAGTTCAGTTAATTCTCTGCTGTGGAGCTGAGCAAACTGAAGAGACTCAGCATCCTTTACTTTTGCACATGAGAGGACTGCATGAGCAGATTTCTGAAGACAGTGCCTAATGACATTAAGGTTAAGGGAGAGAGAGGCCCAGCTTTCCAAAAGGGGAGCTCCAGATTCTTCCAGCACTTCAGAAGGCAAACATCAAGTTACATCGCTGGACCAAATTACACAAAACAATACAGTAGAATAAAAACATGATGGTTTTCTTACTGTACATCTATATTAGACATGGAATAAAACCGTTTATCTGAGCCAGCTTCAGTGGGTAAATGAGAAAGAGGAGCCAATGATGCTCTGCCTACAAGAGGAATTAGAATTATCTTTACTCCCAGGAAAATGTAAATACTCCACTTCCCCTCTTTCTCCTGTTTGACTCAATAAATTATCTGCTGGAAATGTGGCAGAAGCACAAGAACCAGCAATGATGGGAAAAACAGGAAAAAAATTAAGTATTCCTATCTATCTATGGAGGCAGCCATCAAGGTCAATAGCAAGCAGGCTCAAAGCCATAAATTCTACGATCCACAAAACCTTGTGCATTTTGGATGGAGAAAATTCACAGTGCTTATCAGCTTTTAACTGCTGGCAATGCTGCCCACAGGTACAGCTGGGTGTCAGATTTTCTTAACATCCCATTTAGGTAAATCCCATTTAGGTACCCTTTGCAGCAACTGAGGCCCATTTCCTGCAGCAGTTCCACCTGGTGAATTCAACTCCTTCACCTCCCATTCAAGGAAAGCCAAGCATTTATTCTTTCCTCAGCTTTTGTGTTTAACGAATGCATACCTCACTCCCAGTCACCTTAATGTACACCTCACACCCAGTCGCCTCAACCCACACAGGCACAACAGGCTCTGCAGATGTTTCAAACAAAGCACTGCCATGTTTTCATGAAGAAACAGGTAAAGTTGTGCTCCACAGGCAGCCATCACACCCAGGGGACCCAAAGCAAGGCAGAAAGAGGAGCAGGGAACCTCCCACCACAGCAGCTGTTTGTTGATCTTAACACTCTGTTCTCATAACTCCCTTTTTGTAGGCTCACAGCAGATAAAACTGGCTGCCATCTATACAGAAAGTGACCTTCAGCTTCATGGTGGCCAGAGAAAGTTCTTTTAAATAAAGATGCATTGAATTTCAGAGCTCAAAGCTAGAGAATCCTCTTCGGGTTGTACCATTCTTTTTATGTGAACACCTGATTTAAGTTAAAAACAGCAAACTGCTGTTCTAACATGCTCCTGCTTCTCCTGTTCTAGATGGGCACAAAGGCCCCCCATATCTGGAATGTTTGGCAGTTCTCCTTCCTCTGAGCAAGGCTATGCAAGTCTGGCAAGGAGTTACTAACACATACAGACACTAAATACAAGCATCAAGTGAGGATAAACCTTGTTTTACAGTACTCACTTCCAGTCACGAGAGATGAAATACTGGAGCTCCAGGAGCCGATGCTCACAGTCCTCCACCATCTTCTCTGTATACAGGTGCTCCATCAGGCAGGACAGAATCCTGAAACCAGAAGGAGAAAAGGTAAGTGTAATGCTATAATGCGATGATAATAGCAGAGTGGCAAAGTCTTTGGCTACAATGGAATGAGAATGAGCCCAAATGCAGCAGCCAAGGATGCAGAAATGAAGGAAAAGAGCTGTTTACCTTTGGAAGGCCTCAGGCAGGCAGGGATCTCCAGCTAGAGATGCCCCCACCTCACTGCCAACCCTAAAATGAGGGCTGGGAAGAGATGGATCCTGGCTCTACCCCTTCCAGTCACTCAGGTGCACTGCTCGCACCAGAACTCCCCTGGGTTGGCCCTGCCTTCCCACCAGGTGCTCCATCACTGCTCCAAGCCATGACTGAGCATTGCCAATGCAGTAAGGAAGAGACTGGGCCTCCTTCTAACAGTCAGCGCTGCCAAATCAGGCTTCCCAACAAACTGTACCTAAGCCATTCTAACACAGCAAAGATTATCTTTCTTCTCTTTCACAAAGAGGACAAACATCAACACACCATATTTATACCCTCCAATTCCACCCTTTTAATTATCTCAGCCAATCTGAGACATGACAAAATCAGAAGGAATATTTAATGCAAAGCCTAGCTCAGGAAACAGTACCATCAGCCCTGAAGACACAGGAGATGTCACTCTGTGCAGCACAGGCTTGCTTGGTTAAGCAGCCCTTTCAAGGCTTGTTATAACCCAGCAGAAGAGAGAGGCACCTACATGGGATCCCCAGACCGTATGTGCTTGCAGGCAGTCTGTATGACGGATTCACAGGCCTCATTCAGGGCTCTGTCAATGCGATAATCGGCACCAGGGTCCGTCTCTTGGATCAGTGTTTGGAGCTGGAAGAAAGAAATCATAGAGAAAACTAAACATACATATACATACATGGAGGAGATCCAGGAGCCCCACTGAAACACAGGATAAAGCGTCATCTGCTGCCCCATCCTGCAGTCCCCCTGCAGGGGTCCTCCTCAAGCCTCCAAACATGAATTTGGGAAGCATGTGCTGGAGGGAGAGGTGGGAACTCAAATGCACTACTCCACCCACTGGTAGTGGGGAAGAGGCAGCCTTCCACACTCTGGGTCATACTCAGCCCCACGTGTTTCACACCGGAGACTAAACAGTCCCAGAGCTCCTTATGTTGCTGTTCTACAGGCAAACGTTTGTAGGTGACAAACTGGGAGCACAAAAAGGAGCTTGCTTAGAATGCAACTGCACACCACTATCAAATGGGCTGCGCTGCGACCACCTTGACACTTACTTAATGATTCTTGTCACCGGTCCTCAGCCCAGCTAAATCAAAAGCACGCTCACAATTTTATCCTCCATCCTTCAAAGCTTGCACCTAAACACCAGCCTGCACACTTATAGGGGGCACCAGCCCTAGCATCACAAAGCACAGGGGGAGAAAAAGCATCAGAGAACCAGAGAAAATGAAAGCTAGGGCTATTTATCCAGTAGGTAGCTTAATGATCAAGAAGACAGAGCCTGGGAGGAACAAGGCATTTCCTGGGCTGAAGCTAATTATGCCCAGCCTCAGCCTGGGGATGCAGGCAGCTGGGATCACTGTGCCAGGTGTTACACAGAGCAGGATCATGTATGATCATGGGAATTACTCCCTCGAGGATGAATGGGTGAATAAGCCCTCCAAGCTGACATTTGCTTACAGGCAGATTAAGCACACTGGTCAGAGCACTACACAGGAAAGCATCTTCCTGCTGCCTCGGTGTTTTTGGTGCTATCAGGTGTAAGAGGCCTGGGCATGGGTGTTAAAACATTCATTATATCAGAGGCCAAGACCTTTCACTCCTTAATCAGGAATGTCAGCCTGAACTCAGCCCTTCTTGGATCTTCCCATGTTTGAATGTCTTCTTCCTACCACACTTTACTGACAGTACCTTGTTGATGGGCAGCACTGGTTTTACTCTCTCTTTTTTTTAGGGACCCATCCCAGCATCCTCATTCACAGGCACCCTTCTGCGTAACCTCCTTGCACAAGAGCTGCTGCAAAGGGCAGGCCACAGAGCCCCCATCCCTGGAGGTGTCCAAGACCCATGGGATGCAGCACTGAAAGTCAATGGGCATGGTGGGTTGAGCTGGGGTTGGCCCTGGGGATTGGTCTCTTCCAACCCTAACGATTCTATGAAAGAATTAAATTGCATTATCAGTGCTCCTAATGACACTACCGAAAGCTCTGGGACAAGGTTTTCACTCTGCCAATATCTACAGACAGACCCGGGACTGCTTTCTCTTCCTTACGAGATTAAGCAGAAAAAAAGTAAAAGCAGGAAGCTCATTTCAACGCAATAAATCAAAACTAAATCGTATTTTATAAAGTCGGCATTCAATTTGCTCATGTTGTCACTGGCAGAGACCAGAACACACGGCTGAACTTCAGGGGGAGTCACTACCAAGCCCTGCTGCTGCATTCACTGACTGTACAGATACAAGAGCTGTGGTCTAATTTTAAGAGAACTAGGAAAAAAAAATACCATTAGATTTCCACATTGTTTTTCCCCAAAAAATATGGAAACCTCCTATCATTTTATGAGAACATAGGCAGAATTGCAACATCCTGACCCCGGGTTTTAAGCTACATTTACAGTGAAAATGGACTACAGAGGTTCCATGTACTGCAGGAGGTCAAGAACACGCATCTCCCCGAATTCCTGCATCAGCAGTAGCACTCCTTCAGCAGCTTTGCATCGATGTCACTTTTCCAGGCTCATCTCCCATACATCGGCTGAAGGGCCATTAAAAACAGGATTAAGTATTAAAAACATAAGATCACATGAAGCAGCACTAATGAGCTAGAACAAGCATTAAATAACTGCTTTCAAACAGGACACATCTGGGCCAAAATTAAAGTTTGAAAAAGGCAAAAGAATCAACCTCATTTCAAAAAGGTATTTTGGAGAGGAACGATCCTTTGTTTCGGTGGCTGCCACACTGCCATGCAGCAGCACGCTGTGCCTGTCCCTGAACTGCCACGTTCATCACTCAAGCTGAGCAAAATGGCAACAACAGAAGAAGTGGCAGCCTGCATGGAGATGATTCTGGTGAACTTCCAGGGTTAGAGCACGAAAGGAACAGAGAAGAGAAGGGATGCTTTAGAACAAGGATGAATGGTGATGGCCTTATGTTGCACCAGGGGAGGATCAGGTTGGATATTAGGAACAATTTCTGCTCCCCAAGAGCAGTGATGCAGTGGCACAGCTGCCCAGGGATGGGGGGATTCCCCGTCCCTGGAGGTGTCCCAGAGCTGTGGGGATGTGGCACTGAGGGACGTGGGCATTGGGCACGGTGGGGGTGGGCTGGGGTTGGGGATTTGAGAGCTCTTTTCCAACCTTAGTGATACCATGATCCTAAAATTTAAAAAGCTTCCCTACATCTCACATCCAGGACTCAAGAACTGCTGGAGTTCAAATACAAAATCCAGAGCAACGCAACTCAAAATGTATTTTCTGAGGGGCAAAAAAATAAGAAAGCATTACAAGCGTGCTGTGAGACAGCAAGTGATACTTCATCCCACGGAAATTACACAAGTGCCTCCAGCACTCAGCGGTGCCCGGCAGAGCTGGATTGCCTGCAGCACAATCTCTGTGGCCATGCAGAACATCAGCAGACAAATCGTTGCCTGCCAGAGCTCTACCAACCCAGCAGCTCAGGATTGCAGAGACAGAAGAGCGTCTCACCGCCTGCTGGCAGTTGGGCCCCACGTTGCCCTTCTCTCCACGCACGACTTTCATCAGGCAGTGCAGCGTGCGGCCCTTGCGGTGCAGACCGGAGCAGTGGTGCTCAATCTCCCCACGGCAGCTCAGGATGATTTCTGGGCTCAGGGAGAAGTCTTCCATGAGCATGCGTCGGTAGTCCAGCATCTCTCCCTGGCACTCGCTGCTCACCTGCCGACCTAGGACAAGAGGAGACTGTGCTTCAGAGCTAATGTTTCTTGGTCAGGATTCTTGATTCTTGATTTGAGAACAGGGACCAAAGCGCAGCATAGAAATCTATCTTTTAAGATGCTTATGTCTGCTATAAGCTCTCCTGTAATCCCATGTAGATGGATTGTTTGGAAGTCAAAAGAAACGCTATGGATTTTGTTCTGTGCCCCTCCAAACCCATTCATCCATCTACACCACCCCATGCACTGGAGGTCCTACGCTGCAACGCTGGCTTACAGGCAATATCACACAAGTCCATGGAGCTGTGTGCAATAGAGTGCTCCTCCTAAGCCGTGCTTCAAGTGCGAGCCACGCTGCAGAACCTGTCTGCTGTGAAAGCAGAAGTCAACAACCCCAGAGCGGTCATTCAGGAAAGCACCTGCCCTTCTGCAGGGTAAGGAAGAAAACTCTTCCCAGAGCGGCACACATTTCCACATCAATCAGAACTGACAAGTTATTCCGAGTCACAAATGCACAGATTGCTTGCAGCCTTACAGCAGTTCTTCCCTCTCTGCCAGAGGCACTGCAGCATGCAGACCTGCTGCTGAACCATAAGCCACCAGCTGAACACCAAGGGGAAAAACAGTTCCTCAGAGCAGATGCAGAGGACACAACATGCCCAACTTGATGCATTATGGCAGTTTCACAGGGAACCTTCAACATGGTCCTGCTGCACAGGGCTCTCTCACACCTGCAGTGGAGTCAGTGGTGTTAAGACTTCCCCAGCTCAATGCTGACCTCAGTGCATAAAAAGAATGCTCTCACACTTAGCTTCATTCCAGATAGCTCCTGCACCAATTACCTAGCTTTTGTTAAGACATTTACTCCAGCTACTGAAGCGGAGAGGAAGAACATAACTTACAAGAGGCATAGGACTGAGAGAACATCTCCATCAAATAAACAAGTTGCCTATTCTGTGTGTTAAACTAGCATTGTTAATGCCTACTACAAAGGAGGAAAAAAGGCTGTTTGGATAACTGTGAATAGAAGGATCTGTAATTACACATCAGCGGTCCAAGTGGGATTTGCTATTTTGCATTTTGAACTCCTTGCCTAAACAACAGTCAGTGTCAGAGGTTGTTTCAGCTATTCTAATCTTCAAAACACCACTGACAGACAGAAGCACACAAGGAGGAAAGCTGCCTTTCAAACGAAGTCAGACCGAAGGTTACCTGGAAAAGGTGACCATAAATACGCTCTGGCTCAAATGTCCAACAGAAACTTGAAGTCAGCAGCCGAGCAAGTCGTACCTCTCCAATGAAGCCCACGTACCTCTGTGCACAGCAGACTCCAGGCACATCAGCAGGTAGGAGAGCCTGGCTTCCCGGGAGCGGGGCAGGTTCTCCACGTTGCAGCGGTATTTCTTCAGGTCGCTCTTACAGGACTTGGCCAGCGAGTAGCTGACTTTGTAGTCCTGGGCAATCAGCTTCTGGCGCGTCGTCAGCGCGTCACGGCACTGCAGGAGACACCAGGATGGCAATTAGCTTCCACAAGCTCATGGCAGAGCTGGATCTGCTGTTAGAAGTGTTTTAAATGAAGCCCGAGGTTCTCGAGCTGGACAGTGGTTAAATCTGTCTTTTCCTACAGAAATGATACAGCTAACAATCCACACTGAGGTCAACAGACCAAAGGTTTCAAAAGCAGATTGCAGAGAACTGCACGTTCATCAGCTTTTGTGGAGGGGGATGGCTGAGCACGACTCATCCTCAGCACCTAAGATGAGTTGCTGACATTTATCCCAGTGCTGGGGCGTGCTCACCCCATGCCCTCAAGAAGCAACTCCTCCCCATCACATCTGCAGACAGCGTGTGCTGTGGGTTTGTTCTGCAGCACAGCAATCAGATGGCAGCACTGGTACACACCTGATCCTCGTACTGCCATCCAAGTGGGGTATCCTCAGGGTCTGTGAACTTCTAGCCATGGAAACTCACAAGGACGTGCTAGGGCCAAACCCATTCCCTTGAGGATCCACTCCAAAAAGGGCCTGTAAAAACACTGCTCTGCTTCCTAACCTTTGTTTCAATTGCATGTATGTTAAATCTCACAGTAGCAGATAATTTAGACTACCCTGGGCTAATTTCTCAGTTTTCAGACTACTTGAAAAGAAGGAAAGCCACATGTGTAGGGGAGAAAATGGGCAGCAAATCTCAACGCAAGGAACAGAAAAAACCCTGCAGCTCTCTTCCCTTTGTTGCATTACTTTTTTTTTTCCTGCCTTTTCTCCCCTTCTTCCCATACCTACTCCACAACCTAGAAGTCCCACTGTGACATTATCCCATCCTCTCCTCCGTGCTCCATGCCATGCCCAGGGCCTTGGGAGCAGAGAGACTTGAAGCTGTGGATGCACAGAGGTGTGAACTCACAGAACCCCCCATCTCCAAGGCTGGTGCCCTGCAAATTGCACCCTCAGCACATCCCTACCAAAGCTGTGGCTTTGTCTGACTTCTCAACGCCTTGTATTTGTACCTGACAAGGGTCAGGCAGCTTACCAGACCCTGCAAAAACAGCACTGCCTCTGTACAGCCAAAACCAGGCTGAGCAAAGACAGCAGTCCATTTCAGCAGCGTGTTTGTAGAAAATGAAGTTTTGTTTTGAGCCCTCAGGGATGACTCCCTCAGTTCTGAATTCACTAATTGGAGCTAAGCTTTCATACAGCTAATGCATTTAAAGGAAAGGAAATGAGTCTGATCCCTCCAGGGCCTCAGCACGGTGCTCCTCCAGCACAGCTTCTGGAGAAGGCCTTGCAGACACCCATCTCTGTACCCTTTCAGACAGTTGATATCACCCCATTTAATTCCAACTGCTACAACGATGCTCCTCAAGTGACTGAAGGCATTACCACCTTCCCAAAGCACCTGCATTAATACAGCTGCAAACAAACTCCTTTCAGGGACAGACTTTCCAGAACTGCTTTTATTTGCTGTTGAAAAGCACATCCTCATGATTAGCACAAGGAAAATGCTAGCAACAACCACGTGTCCTTCCCATGTATCTTGCTACTTCCTGCTCAAGATTTTTGGTTTCAAGGCTTTAGAAAGCAAAGCACAGACTGTCCTGCGGTGGGACATCTGGACGCTGTTTCTGATCTGTACATTGTGATGTACAAGAAGGCCTCACCAAGAAGGGAGGAAAAAGAAGATCCAGGGACCTCCAGGCCAGGCCCTACTGAGGCACGTGGAAAATAAAGATAAGGGGACTGGTGGCAACCGACACGGCTTCACCAAGGGCGAGTCACACCTGACAAAACTCAGTGGTCTTTGTGATGGAGTTACAGCATCAGTGGATAAAGGAAGAGCAACTGATGTCACCTGCGAGGACAGGCTGAGAGAGCTGGGGCTCTTCAGTCTGGAGAAGGAACAAAAGGCTCCAGGGGGACGTGAGAGTGGCCTTCCAGTACCTGGAGGGGCCTCCAGGAAAGCTGGGGAGGGACTTTTTATAAGGGCATGTAGGGAGAGGACAAAGTATAAATGGTTTTAAACTGGAAGAGGGTAGATTTAGACTAATGTTAATAAGAAATTCTTTAGTGTGGGGGTGGTGAGGCACTGGAACAGTGAGGCTGTGGATGCCCCTTCCCTGCAAGCACTCAAGGCCAGGCTGGATGGGGCTGTGAGCAATCTGTTCTGGAGGGAGGTGTCCCTGCCTTTAGCACGGGGGTTGGAAGAGATACCTTAAAGGTCCCTTCCAACCCAAACCATTCTCTGACATATCAAGCTGACACCCAGCATGAGGCCACTTCTACTTGCACCACAGTCACAATGCTACCACCCCAGTACCAAGCCTGCCTTCCCAAATTACCCACTCAAAAGCTTTGATGTATTTAAAACCTTCAACTTTAAAGGCTATTACTTGGATGCAATTAACTCAAGCTACCAGCACGTAGCTGGAAACACAAGCACATCTGTTAAAGCAGCCAGCTGTCTGACCATGTAAATGATGGATTTTCCTCAGTGCTGCAAAAGAATGAGGCGGTTTGAACTGATGAACAGCCCAGTGACTTTTGCATTAAGGATTCCTCTCAGCGAGGCAGATACCCACCTTCTCACTCATTGATTCTTCAAACTTGTGATTAAAGAGGCACTTGTAAACTCGGCCTTCCCCAGCCTGAGTCTGTGAAGCAGAACAGCAACATTTGCCATTAAAGATAAGATGCCTAATGCTTAACAAGCAGGCTAAACTACCCCAGAAGGGATTTCGTTTTCAAACTAGAAATATATTCAAGTTAATACTTCAAACAACAGCAATGGCTTCTGTACCACAGTTTGCATTTTTTAAATCCGGTCACATCAGCAGATAAGAGCCAACACAAACTGAACACGCTTACCTTTGCCTCCTCCTCCCCATCTGAGCAGCTCCTCTCCCTTTCACACCAGCTGATACCCACTCAACCACGTAAGCCAATTCAGCCCATTAACCCACTAGAAATGATACTTTTTTGTTGGGTGACTGAACTCAATTCCACATTTATTGGGAACCGACAGCTACAAAGTGCCGGTTCTCAGCGTTGCAGTCTTGGGCTCCACTCTACCGTTCCATTCCCCTTCCCAACGTGGTTTTCTATTTCATTTTTAATAGATTACTGCAAGAAGGGAGGCGAGAGGACAACTCACATTCTCACAGAATCGCTCCCTGTCGTCTCGGCAAGCGAAGTAGAGGTGGCGATCCAAGTGGAAATCATCTGAAGAGAGCTCCGCTACGCGAAGGATGGCCTTCTTACACTGATCAGAAACCTGGACACGAGGATCGTTCTCCTCTGCCTCTTTAACCAGGCCTTTTTCCAGGCATGCCACCACCTCTCCTTGGGAGTGGGCGTCCTGTATGGAAATAGGAAGAGAGCATTGGTGTCACAGCGCTTGCACAAGGAAGCAGCCTGCGGCTCTGTGAAATTAAGCAACAAAATCACGTACAGACAGACTCCACAAGTCCAGTATTCACCACGCTGACACGAGGCACCGGTGAACACCTGCACTATCACACACCTGACACATTACCACCCTGATGGTCACCATGCTGCTGACCCCTCCAGTGCTCCAGGTTTGTTTTAATGTGCCCTAATGAGATTATCACTACTTAAGTCACGCTGCTTGGAGCGGTTTACCAAAACAGCCAAATTATTTTTCATCCAACATAGCTTTCTTTGCACCATGGCAACGGCAAGCAGGGGCATCACACTAAGAACATACTTGAGCGAGAGAAAAACCCAAGTTTCTCCATGCTGAGACAAGCCTTCACTTTGGGTGGTGATCATTAGCGATGCTAAACAGGCCACAAAGGAACTCTGACCAAATGTAGGCTTCTCTATGCTAATCCCTCTGCAAAGGGAATTAAAATCTTGAACGTGCTCAGCAGCAGATGAAGTCTGAGACAAAGCAGCCCTGTCCCAGCACTGCACCCCCCGTCCTACGAGCCCAACGGGGCCTGGGGCTGCAGCTGGTGACTGCATACAGAGAGCTGTGCTCTGCGTGAGGGCCCACGAGAGGCAGTTCATTGCTGACCAAAGCTCCATTCCTCTTTTGCTATATTCTCTGTGTGCTTGAGAATCCCACTCCTACACCTTCACAGCAGCTCCAACTCCTCTAGAAACAAGAATGATTCTTGAGCTGATCTCTCCAGGCCTGCAACCAAGCTCCTTAACATAAGCTGGTCTCCATAAACACAACCAGGACCACCCAAAGCCACGCAGCTTTCCGTGCTGACACTCCTGGTTCAGTTCTGCCACACCAGGAGAGCAAGCAGGATCTGCCGATCAAAAGTCATAAACAAAACCCAGTTTAAGAGGGCTAAAAGTAGCTTTCTCCTTAAAAAGCAGGAAACCCCCAAACCACACAGCAAACGCCCTGGTGTTTGTTTGCTTTCTCCTCTGAATGGGAACTGGCCAACCTCCATCCCAGCCAGGTGATGGCACCTCTCAAGAAATCTGCTTATTTCTCAGCAGCCACTTTAGGACTGACCTAACAGGGACCTGCGGAATACTAGTTATAGGGTACATCCGCCACCTTCCTTACAACTGACATTTAGTCATGACCACACTGAACACCAACCCTATTCCCCAAAGCTCTGTGGTCGAACAGGGACAGTAATTACAAATGGGGAAAGGGAAATTATGGAAAACAGCCACTGGAAGCTGCTCTGGTAGTGCTGCACTCAGCTGGGAGGTGCAGCAGGCCACTGTGCCCCCTGCTCACCTGCAGCATCCCACAGCCAGCCAGCAGGAAGGAACAAGGCAAGCTGCTTCTGCTGGGAAGGGCAGAGGCTTCCAGCTTTCTTTCAGCGTGGTCAACAGATACTTATTTTTAACCACCTAAAGGAAACCTGATTTGCAGATGCAGGATACTGAATGCTGTATTTCGGGGACACAATAAGCAATGAGCTTACAAACAGGTTTTGGTTTTGGAGATCACCGTGCAGTGCTGGCTACCCTGTACTAGAGCAATTTTAAAACACACCAGACTTACCATGAATAGAAGTACATGCAAATCAACAGGGTCAGCTCCTGAAAGATGCAGTTCTCCCCTTTGTTTCCTACCTCTGAGCATCTGTGTGCCTTCTTGGAGCACTCCCCAGCCCAGCTGAGACAGCTCAGGAGATGCATTAAACTTACCTGGGTTCATCTTTAGGCAGAGCTGAGCCCTGTGCACTTGTGCTGACTTTTGTCACCACTTGAGATGCAGCTAAAGCAGCTCCTGACTGTTTCTTCAAAAGCACACGAAAGCAGCCGTGCTGCTGCTCAAGGAAAGAACACGGGCAGGACTTAAAAACAAGGTTTGGAGAAGCCTCAGCTTGACTGCTCATTTTAAGGATACAAAGAAGCAACCTGACTGTCAAAGCTTGATTATGGTTAATGCTAAACCTCAGCCCAACTGGACACAGCCCAGCACAGAGCACTGGGAAGGACTGCCAGCTTATGGCAGCTCTGCTGTGAATCCGTAAGGCATAAGAAAAACCCAAGCAGGATCTGTTTGTCACCTCACTGAAGCGTGCTACAGCTGCTCTGGTTTTACAAGGCTTTAATTATTGGCCAATGCATGCTGTAATTGATGCTGCGTCACCTGACAGCGGCAGAGGTCTGTTAAACACACACAGCAATGGGGGGGGGCTATAGGGGGGCAGGGAGGAACAGGGGGGGCCATAGAGGTCGTGGGGGGGGAGCATGGTCCTATGCGGGGGGGCTACAGGGCCCTATGAGGGTCGTGGGGGGGACGACATGGTGCTACAGGGGGGGCACGGGGCCCTAATGGGGGGATCTTGGGGGAGGTGTCAAGGGGTGGCATGGTCCTATAGGGGGGCACAGGGCCCTATAGGGGTCTTGGGGAAGTAAAGGAGGGGGAGTCAAAGGGGGGCACAGGGCCCTATGGGGAGGGCATGATCACATGGGGGGCACAGGCCCTCTAGGGGTCGTGGAGTGGTCTTGGGGAGGTCACGGGGGGAGGTCAAGGAGGGTATGATCCCATGGGGGGGGCACAGGGCCCTACAGGGGTTATGGGGGGGGGGGGGTGTCAAGTGGGGGGCATGGTCCTTCTGGGGGGGCACAGGGCCCTATAGGGGTCTTGGGGGGTCATGAGGAGGGTCAAGGGAGGCACAGTCCTATGGGGGGGCCACAGTCCTATGGGGGGGCCACAGTCCTATGGGGGTTACCTTGACACCCGTGGGGGGTGTCAAGGTGGGGCATGGTCCTATGTGGGGGGGCTACAGGGTGCCTTGCATCACCTTATGAAAGGACATATTTGGATCCACAGAGGATGCAAGCTACTTCCCAACACTGCAGCAAAGCCAACTTCAGCACGGCGCTCTGAGACACTTCAACTCTTCAGACCAAGATTCAAGCTCTGGGCACACGACTTTAGGCCAAGACAGAGCCTAAAAACCCTCACTTCTTACTATTCCCTTTCTGATTTCCCCACCCCCAATACTGCTCCTGCTCTGCCATCCCTGTTTGCTTTACTGTCATTTCCAGAAGCTCCTCCCGACAGACTCCACTCCGCCTGGGATGCCTCATACAACTTGCACTGAAGTCACCCTCATTATGGCTAGTAATCAGTTCCATCTGGGACATCCTGGCTAAACCCAAAGCAGCTCCAGCAAAGCAATCCACCACCCATCCATCTGCTACAAATGCACCTATCACTGAGACCAGGAAAGCAGGGAGCCCGTTCTGATGGCAGCTCAAGAAGAAAAGCTCAGTTACAATTGCTAATTTCAATTTCAAATTAGATCCCTACTGCATGAAGACAATGCAAGCTTTGAACACCAGGAGTCCACAGTCACTATGGAGCACAACAGCCAAGTGGAAAGGTGACTGAAGCTGCCATGAAACACTTCTCCCCCTCTAACTGGAGGAAAAGAAGCACAGAATAGATGCGTTACAAAACTTGATGTGATGAACACAGCCACATCTTTCTGCTGTACACAGATTGAGACTTCCAAGCTGCTCTTTATTGCTCTTGCAGCGGAGAAAGCCAATGAGGAACGTGGAAAAGAAAGCCCAGAAAGCACTGCATCAGGACCAACAAAACCAGCAGGAACAGAATTCAATTAGGAAGTAAAAAGAGAGCTAAAACAAAGAAAGAAGCATGGGAAAGGCAAACTCTTAGCTGGCAGGAGGCAATGCAATTCCCCAATACCTACAGGCACTGTTTACAGGTAAAGAAGGCAGTTTATCCCCGTTACCACGATGGAGCTAACAGCACAGCAGCCTGCTGAGGGTGCAGCAGTGCTCCTCTCCATAAAAAACAGATGCATCTGTGCCCCATCTCCTCCTCAGGTGCCCAGCCCCTATTTATTGCATTCACAGCTCTGCTCAGCCACACAAAAGGCCAATGATTATTTCTCTACAGGCAACTCTCAGAAGCTGCAGCGTGGAAGCAAAACCTGAACCGGCATCTGATGGGAGCAAATGAGATGAGATTTCTCCAAAGCAGAAATGGGATGGAACAGAACATCAACAAAAGAAACACTTGCATAGCCATTTATAGCTGTTCCCAGAGCAGTGCGAAAGACTTCAATTGCTCTGAGTGCCAAAGATGACAGCGTAACAAAAGAAATTATATGACAGGCTGCTGTGCTTTCACAAACCAAGGCATAACATTCTGGGTTGGGTACCAAGAAAGTGAGGAACACGCATAGAAGTGTCCCCCCACCAGCTGCCTTGTGCCCACCCAGGAGCTGGCTCTGCTCCGGGCAGAGAGAACAGTGCAACCTGTCAGCACCCTGAGGGCTGGGATCAGACAAGGGACAGCAGTCCCCATGGGGCTGCCAAGTTACACACACAGGAGCCCAGCAGCTTCCTGCCCTTTTAACGTGCAATCTGGCATGCTCAGAAAACACATCAAGATTCTCTTCCTCAGTCAGATTCCCCCCAACCATGGCTATTTAAATTGGAATTGATTTTAATTTGGTGGTGCCATGGCTAACAGGCAGAGCTGGCAGCCAGGGCTCCTGTATGACATTCCTCATTCCACACAGTGTGTTAAAAGCAGCATCCCATTTCATGAGACCCTTCAGCCCAGGATGAGAAGACAGAACCAGTTACTCAGCTGCTACCAGGCTGAACCCACAGTGCCTGCAAGCTCCCCCTGCTTCTAGGGCTGCCTTCTTCTTGAAACCAGGCACTGAACTTTGTGCTTCCTGCTGCTGGAATACAGCAGGACTTCAGTTAATACTCTATGGACACAAAGCACACATCTCAGCCAAAAAGACTTCTTCCAGCTAAGCATCCAATTGTCTTCTTCTTCTTGGTGTTTATTCTTCTCTTTTAAAGAGAAAAGCTTATTACTGTAACATCTTTTTACATCCTCATGAATAGCTCACAGGGTAATTTTATCCCCAAAGGCAGAACTTACCATAAAACGAGGCACTCCCTCATGCAGCACTACACAACTTGCTGCCTGCATTACTAATGTAGGGAGGGAGAGACAGCACAGTGGTGATAAACTCACACCTAATGACCACAAACTGCTCTCTGCATCAATCTCCACTCCAGTTCTGTACGACAAGAACCAGCACAGCATTACAGGCAGTACGAGTTACCCATGGTCACGCTGTAGCAAGGACCATTCCCTTTTTGGGGGGGACAGAGGAAAGAGACAGAGCGAGCCAGTAACAAGGCTGATCCCTTCTATCAGCATCTCTGGATACCTTCTCCCCAGGCCGAATGCTGCCACATTTCAGGAGGTTGATGTCAGCCTTGCAGTCGTCCATGAAGCCACAGATCAGCCGGTAATCACTGAAGATAATGGCTGTCATCTTTGTGATGTACTGATGGCACTGGTACTCCGTGATGTTGCCTCTGTGATCCACCAAACATGACACCAAGAAGCCTTTGCCGACCGGTTCATCTGCACACTCCTTGATCTGATAAAACAAAAACAGAGAATTGAAATACAGTGGCTGAAGCATGTGGAGAAAGCAAAGGCAGTGACCTTGAGGGCTGGAAGCCCTCTTGCTCCACAGCCATGTTTCATAATAACCACGCTGAATCCCTGCAATCAAGCGCATTTGTATGAAAAATTACAGTTTGACAACCTTTATTTAGAAAACAGAGACTATTACAGCATCACTAAATCACACTTGGACCCATGTGAACCACTCGACCCCTCGCACAACACAGCATTCTGGCTGGAAGCAAGACTGACCCAAAAATCAACACAATATTTATGGAAGTGTTTATAACTCGCTGGAAGCTGCAAATATCACTGCAGAGGAAAACTCTCACCAAACTGGCTTTTAATCAGGTTCACCAGCATTCTTTATGCTGATCTTCACTGCAGGCAGAGAGCAAGCAAGCCTGCCTCCAGAGCTGCATCTTTGGTTTGGGAGCCACGAGCCAAACCAGTGCGCAGCCCTGGCTCATATTATTGCTTTATTAAGCAATAAATAAAGGAAGGAAGCAATAAATAAAGCAATAATATGGAGGAATCGCTGCTCAGCCACACAACAAGAACACACCTACCTGTCAATGGAAGCAGAATGGGCTGACACTGTGCTAGCAGTATAAGCCAACTGTATGCGTTGGGCTTCTGTGGAAAAACCATTAAAACCAGTGCAATTGCTATGCACCTGCCCAGTATCAGATAACAAGAAACCACGCAGGATTATTGCTATTTACCCGGCTTGTTTTTAAGTGAAAACCACTCACCAAATGGTGAAAGAGCAGCAATTCATGCTGCTCACCACAACTTCAGCACAACGCTGGCGGGGACGCATTTAGCACAGCTCCAGTTCTGTGCTTTCCCTGCTGCTTTTAGACATCACGTCCCAGATTTAGAGGGCATCATTTACAACAACGCCAGATTGTCACTGTACAGAAGTGGTAATTACAGACTGTTAAAAGAGCATTTACAGGAACGCCTTGGTAAAAATCCTGCAGCAGCTACGTGACATAAAACGGGGTGGTGGGAGGGGAAAAATATCCTTCCACGACTGCAAGAAATGGAATTCAATAGCTTTGGCAGTGTTTGCTTTTGGGAGCTACCAAACTCAAGCAATGCAAGCCTTTAAGACAAGCTGCTTTCCTTCCACTCTCCACCTCCCAGCCTTCTTTTACCAGCCACGTTCCTCGATCCCTCCTTACACTGTGTGATGCTTTCCCACAAGCATTATTCTTACCCAGCTCAGCTCATGCTAAGAGAAGGAGCAGAACCTTAACAGCCTGCAAAGAGGCAGCAATCAAGCATCCTTCACTCACACCACTACCTCCCCAGGTTTTGGGGCCAGGCTCCTGCTGTCAGTCTCCGTTCCTCAGATCTTTGTGTGCTTCTCTTTTACTAACTGAGAACTTTGTAAAGAAAGGGGGATGATGCAGGTGAGTACACGAGGAGACATGGGGAACCACTGCTTAGCTGCTCAGCACTGAGGCATTCCTGCATCACCAAAAGTCCATCCTACAGAAAACAGACATACAAACCAGGGTTGCAGGCAATCTGCTATTCATGCAGCTGGCTTCAGGGAAACCTATGTCAAAGGCCACAAAGGAGCCACTATCTAGAGCAAACTGAATGTTTAAGAATGAGTTTTGGCAGAGGGTAGGCGGTAACTCTCACTGCAGAGGAGCGTGCAGCTGCAGGGCTTACCCAGAACATTGCTGGCACTGTTCTCCATCATAAGGAGATGAGAAATTCTCAGTGCCACGACAGCAGTGTGCAGTGCTTACCTCTGCAATGGTGGACTTGCAGACTTCTCTGGCCACGGACTCGAACTTGGGATCTGTAGTCAGGTTCAGCTTGTAGTTCCACAGGAGCTAGAGAGAGCATTTGTAGAAAGAAGGCTTGAGAGCTGCCCACGGAGGAACTGCTGCTTTGCTTCAGGAAATAATCAGACATCAACATTCCAGATCGCTATCATCATCCTTCTACAGCACAACAATCAATGCAAAGTCTCCTTGACAACAACTTTGTCTCCTCATTTCTGCAGCACATTTCTTATCCTGAACAAATTCAGACTGCCAGAAATCTTTCTGTAAGGTCACAGGCTGACTCACTGGAAGGAAATACAGCTAATGAAGACATCCACGCAACCAAAAGGGAAAAAACAACGAGAGCTGCGAGATGCTACCTGCTGCCTATTCAGCTATGTTTTCAGTGCCCCCACACCTCCGTGCTGTGGCTCATCTGCCTGACACAAACCACTTAACAAAGTCCTCGACGGGAGCAGATTCGATGCTGAGCACTTAACTGAAGCCTTGCAAAAAAGGGAAGGAGACTGCATCCAGGCCCTGACTCACTGCCCTCTACAAAGGGCTGCACTCAAGACAACTTCTGTGGATGCGAACGCCCTTCAGAAAGACAGGTTCTCTTTTGCTGAGCAGACTCATCCATCAGAAACAGGGCTGCCAAACACCACAGCCAGGGTGGCAGGAGCCAGAGATGAGCTCATGCAGGAGCCCGGATGCATTGGGTCACCCTGCAGGAATCAATCTGGGGCAACTTATGCTCTGCAGACAGGTCCACGCCTCGGCTTTCCTCCTGAGGCACCACAAAGTGAAAATAAAGGGTAAGAAAGCAAAACCTCGGCAAATTAACAGCCAGAGATGCTGCCCGAGAGGAGCGCTATCAGCTCATCTGTTTTCCTCCAGGAATTTATCTTGTGTTTAAACAGAGATTGAACAGCTTTAAGAATTCATTTCTAATGCTCTGCCTTCGCAGCGGAAGCCAAACGAATATCAAAACGCTCGAGTTTTGTCAAACTTCTATTCTGAAATCTCAGTTGTAAGCCAAGAGTTGAGAAAACAGGGAAATGTGTTCAGACAGAAGGAGAGCAGCTCTGCACCAGCCCTGAGACGGCGGAAGCACACACACAGCTAAAAACGTTCCACTTTCACACCTCCTAGCAAGGCTCTGTCGTGGTGAAATGCTAAATAAAGAGATCCCAGTGTATGTTGGAGGGGCCTAAGTTGTAAACAAGCAAGTTGAATAAACAAAGAGAATTAGCGGGGAGATCGTCCCTGCAAAGAGCATCTCCCAGCCAGGATCGGGAGGACAAGAATGAGGTGTAAGAGCATAAGAATGCACTTGCAAACCTCAGAGGGCCTTGGCATCAAATCTCTCCAAGGAAACTGTCCCACAGAAGGCAGAAGAGAGGTTACATTTGTGGCTTAAAACACAGATTTTGAACCTCAGCAACATTTTCCCAGGAGAGAGGATGAGCAGCTGTAAAACCAAACCTACAAACTCTGCTGGAAATGCCCAGTCGGACAGCATCGCCAGGGCTGGTTTTGGCAATTACCACTAATAAACCAAATCATGGCTTCCGAAAAAGGCTCTGCCTTCTTATTTTAGCCCCCAATGTAGAGTTAGCTTGACAGCCTGAAACCTGGCTAACAGTTTGCTCAGTTAAACACAGCACTGAGAGGAAATCTGTTCCCAAAGTAGCCAAGCAGTTCAAGCTGCTTCGAAATATCACACCCCCATGGCATTCTGCAAGCAAGTCGAAGAATTTAGCAGGTGCGAAAGCAACACAGAAGTTTAAATTCAGCACTGCTCACATCTCTCCAGAAGGAGCTCAGCATATTGCTCCAAGTAATGCACAGGAACAGGAGCCACCCCCCAAGTGAGAGCCAGGAAAGATATCTGCTGCGTTCCTCGGATACAGGAGCTTATAGTGCTCCCTTCTGAAGTTTTCAGTAAGAACAGACTGGCTGCTCTTGGTTACAGAAGTCGTGTTGTGCTCTTCCTCCACAGCCCAGCAACTCAAGTGCATCCTAATTAACGCTTCCTGCAAACTCCACCTAAAGTACTTGAGGCTGAAAGGGATGGGAGCTGCACAGGGCCCAGTGGGAGGCAGAAGGAAACAAAGCAATACTTACGTGGTTGCAGTCTGAAGAGATTTCATTGTCTGGCTGAAAGGAGACAAGAAAAAAAGAAGCGTCAGTTCACGAATGTATTGAACACACAGAAGAACGCAACGATAGAAATGAACACGCTCGTCTTGCTTTCATTATGAAAAAAATGACACAACAGAAGCGTTAAAAAGCTGCACAGTAAGGTGATGGCATCCAAGCATCCCAAAGGCTCCAGGTGCTCCACGGTGGAAGTGGCACAAGGGCAGCACTGAGGGAGATGCCACAAAACCATGGATGGACACATCTGCATCCGGCCCAACTGCCCCAGCCAGTAAAGCCAAACAGCACCCGTGGGAAATCGCAGGCTGACATCCACTGCGACTGAAGGGATTTACAGCAGCTCCGTCACAAAGGCACTGAGCAGCAAGCAGCCCTGACTCAGCAGCTCTGAGCCCAGCCACCCAGAGGCAGGGCGCCCGCACCACCAGCACCACCAGGTCTGTGGGAAAAAGGAAGCACGAGAAAGGCTTCCAAGTCCAACTACAGCCATCACCGACCAACGCACTGCTGTTCTGAATAGCAGGAAGTGGCAGGAATTACCTTGCCATGCAGAGTTCCAAACACAGAACCACCTGAAGGCTCGCAGCCACTCCTTACAGCTTGAGCAGACTGCCACCTCTCCGAAGCAATCATCAGTTAGAAAATTAACCTTTAAAAAGCTTGGTATCCTAACAAATGCCCCTTCAGGATCCTCAGACCACAGCGATGGCTCTCACAACTGAAACACCGGGACAAAACCCAGGCTGCACCATGTGGAAGCAGCAGCTCTAGCTTTCTGCACCCACCTCAACCACTCCGCAAGAGGGAAGCTTGAGGCTGCAGCCAACTCCAGAAGCAGACAAACGTCCTCCATGGATGTTGCTGCTTCGGTCTATCAGCTTCTTTGCAACATTATGTGAATTAGCACTGTATTTACCCCATAGAGGAGGGGCATATCCAATAGCAGACCGGCAGCAGAACCTAGAAGGGCTGGGGAGCACTCCCCAAAGCACCCCACTTACTCGGGCATCCTGCAATCTCATTAGCTTTGCTTTACTTTCATCAAAGATTAACACTCAGTGTGCTTTTTATGGAGAGATGAGCCCAAGCCGATAACAGACTGGTTTGCACCGGCTTGGGAAGTTCAGGCAAGCTTTTCTGGAACGACAGGACATTTGAATGCTGTGCATGAAAATGCGAGGCTGAGAAATGGAGCCTTGTTCTGAGAAAGGGCATGAAGTTGCACAGGAAATAAGGTGGCTTTGGCACTGCATATATTCACAGTTCAGCAGCTAAGCTTGCAGAAGTGAGGGATGCAGCCACCAATGCTTGATACAGAAAAAGATGACCCCTGACCCGCTCAGCTGCTCCTCACCTCCCACCATGTGAGTGCACGAGGGGCAGTGCCAACTGCTTCTCCCCACTAAAAAGGAGCAAAAGGGAGAGAAAAAGTATTTTTACCTTTTGCATCCCATTCACTGAGGGGCTGAGTTTTTGAGGAAGGGGAAGAGCAACCTCTGCAACAGCGGTGCCTTTCTGAGCAGGCTGCACCCACCCACTTCACCCCAAAAAGCAGTTTCAGAGCAACACGCTTCTGTAGGAAGCATGAAGAAAATGGAAAACTGAGTCTTGAACTACCACCGGGAAAAGCTGAGGAGCAAGAATTGCTGCTCTGTGCCACTGCCAGGCTGCAGACCTGATAAAAAAAGTGGCCAAGAGGCATGGGGCAGTGGGAGCACCTGGCACCGCATGATATTTGGGCCCCAGGGAATGGAGGACACTGTGCTGACTGTGGGTCTGAGAGCTCCTCCTACATCCATCCCCAAGGATCAAGACCAAGGATCTAAACCCTATTCACACCACTGGATTTTGGTGAGCAAGGTAAGAATCCCAGCAGGCTACCAAGGATGAAGGCTCTCACCCCCCATTCTGTCTGGACAGACAGGGCTGTCCCCTCCCTGGTGCAGAATCCAGCACTGCTCTTGTGAAATCCACCTGGTTTGTGATTACCCAGCTCTCTGGTTTGTTTGGATCTCTCTGCAAAGCCTCTCCACCCTCAGCAGAGTCAACAGCTCCTTCCAATTGAGCATCACCAGTGATGGACAGCTATCAGCTGTGGGCAGCCTCCAGGCACTGGGGACAACCTGGGACTGGCCCAAGCAAGAGTCAACAAGAACCAAGCATGCAGCAAAGCAATAAAAGAAAATGGTGATTTGCTTGCTATTGGTGCACTTTGCCTAAGCTCTTGTGCAAAGATCAGAAGGTCCATTAGGAAACGATGCCAATTAGAGCAGCCACGTCCCCACGACTGCAGGCAGGTCAGGCCAGGCTGGGGGCCCAGCTCAGCGTGCTGCCACGTGCACGCCTATAGCAAAGCACAGAGCATGTGTCTGCAGCACTAGGCAGGGTTGAATTTCTTCACTCTGACCTCAAACAAACAAACATTTATCACCATCACCCGCAGAGATATGGCAGATAACCCAGGAGCTGCTAAACAAGGAGGCTATCAGGCTGCTAAGGGAAAACAACTCAGGAGCCACGTCCTTCACACAGCTAACAGCAGTACCTTTGTCCCAGCAGCACAAGGCTACAAGGAGGCAATTCAGAGCTCAGGTGTCAGGCAGCCAGCCTTGCACTGCCACAGCAAGAACCAGGGGGCAAGAACCAGCTCAGCAAGCCCAGGCAGCTCCTGCAGGCCTTCCCTCCCCACAGCCAGCTTAGGATGGTCCACAGCACTTCTTGGAACGTGGGCAGACACAGGCAGGAATAGGATAAGAGAAATCTGCCCATCCTCAAAGCTGCTGGAACACCTCGCAGCATAAGGCTGCAGCAAGCCAAGTTCGCACATCCTGCACTCCTGCAAGCATCACGTGGGATTAAAAAAGTTAAATTGGTGATAAAACAGATGAGAAGACTTTGTGATTTACTTACATCACTACTTACAGCTTAGTAAACATACAAGCACAGCCCTTCTCTGCAGTGACAGAAAATGCTCCTGTTTGGTTTCACATGCACTGCAAGTGACCGCAGATCACAGTGCAGCTGAAGGGCATGCACCAGTTTTGACAGCCCAACATCCCTGCAGGTTCTTTGCAGCCAGCTGGGTGCCAGCAGCCCTCTCTCCTGCAGCTCCTCCTGCTTCCGTCTCTGCATGGGGGGCCCCCAGGCCCTGAAGCTCTCTTTGCAGTCGCCTTCCTCATTTCAACACCAGCCCCATGCATCAGAGGCTGTTCTAACGCTCCGCACCATCAAAGCAAACTCATCCCAGATGTCTCCTTTTGCTCTTGCCTGGCTGCTCCTCTCCATTCTCCTGGAGGTTTTCCAGCCTGCCCCGACGCGCTGCAGGGCACAACGAGCCCCAGAGTTATTTGTTTGCCACAGCAGTGGCAGCACTCCTCAAAGCACCTTTCTGAGCAAGTGCTGCTTCCTCATCCCTGCTCCCACAGATAACAGAATGCTGTGCTGCAAAGCAAAGCAAAGCAATGCAGCTCCAGCTGCAGCCAGCTCCGTCACTCAACTGCAGTGCTCCGCCAGGCTGCCCTGCACAGAGCTTTGCTCAGCACCAACAGAACAATGCTCCTAGCAGCCAATATTCATATTTGTTATTCAGTGTGGGCCCATTACTCCTATTCTCCATGCTCCAAGCCATACTTTCTTCCCCCAAGAGTGCTCTCCTCCCTTCCTTCAGTGGGGCACAGCTGTCCCATCCCACAGGGGCCCCGTCCCCAAGGACTGTGCCCACTGCCCAGGGCAGCAGCAGCACCGTTCTCAGCCCTATGACTTAAATCCACACATTCCACCCTGAACCAAAATAAGCAGGCACTCAAGCAGGTGGGAGGCAGACTCAGCTAATTTTAACTCCTGCCAGCTCTTCTACTCAGAGGCGATAGAAACCAAATACCTCAAAGCAGCCCAACCACAAACCACAGGAAGAGCAGCGTTACTCTGAAACCTTCCCTCCCCCCAGACGCCACGAGAGCCCCGCTCTCACCCAATGCTCTAAGGCTGAAGGCAAAGCAAATCTTGAATCACAGAACCATTCAGGTTGGAAGAGAGCTCAGACCCCCCAGCCCACCCCACCATGCTCACTGACCACCTCCCTGAGAGCCCCTTCTGTGCTTTAATTAAATCTCTGCTCGCACCCAGAAGCAGCCCAATGAACGGCAAAGTAATTCGGCAGATAATGTCTTGCTGTTTTTAAGTGTTATTAAAAAGACAGAAACATTAAGATGCAAGCATTTAAATAATTACAGAGCAGATCTGTTTAGTCAAGAAAAATACCCAGCTTAGCTATTGCTAAGGCTAAAATTAGCTGCAAAATAATACAGCCAGACTAGAAAACTCCAGAAAAATTACTGCTGTGCTCAAGCAAGACTGAAATTATTCCAATCCAGGCTTTGAGCTTACTTATATCTGCCTGGGATACTGATCTCCCCAACACTTGGTCCTCCTTGTCATTAAGGCTACCAAGAAATTAATGAAGAGATCAGAAAGACAAGGTGAAGCCAGCTGACCCCACCGTCCTTAGGCACCCCGTACAGCACAGAGACTGGAATCCTTCCTCCTGGAGATGGATGCAATGCAGCACGGCCAGCACACTTGGCTGTTCTGCATGCAAGCAGATGGCAAGTGCACAGCAAACCCAAGGTGTCAGCAGTTGCACTTTGGATGGCAGGAGCTGATGAGCTCGGGTCTTCTGCAGCCTTAACTATTCTATGAGAAATACAGCACTGCTTCACTTCCACCTGCCCAAAGGTGGAGCACTCCACTCCAAAAAAGCAAGAAACACTGCATTAAATAAACACTCAGAGCATAGCAAACTAATGGTGCTGGGATAAATGGCGGCTTGGTTTTCAGCCCAACAGGAGGAAGGAGGTGGAAACAGCAAAGGCAGCTGCCTCCACACTGCATCCTCTGCTATGCACTAACCATGCTCAGCACTTGGGCTTCAGGAGCACTTGTGCACGCAGGATGGAAGCTTCTCATGAGGAACTGCATTTCACACGGTACGAGTTACC